TGGTCCAACTGTGGACCAGCTGTAAGAAAATGGAGAAGAATAATCACTCCAAGCATCTCAAATAAATCTTTAATATTCAGAATTATGGCATGATTTCTTGGACGCAAAAATCTACTGATGGCTGAAAAGTAAATAAATGGCATCAAGGGAAGCATTTCAGCATTTCAGCATGATGATATTGCTTCCACGCTCAGTTCTTCTGAAGCCCTACTATTGGCAAGGGTTACATAAAGATGATATAGTGAAACACAAGACCATATGACAAGACTGTGTCATAAATAGAATGTGTCTCAAAGCCCTGTCAGGATTGTCTTTCTGTTCTATTGTGTAAAGTAATAAGATTCTGTGACTTTTATTACCATATAAATCAAGAAAAGCCACTGGTTCCATCTTGTCGAAGTACACAACAGAGAGAATGGTCTTGATGTCAGAGATGGCAATATGGCAAGGAAATTCATGGCCATGACTGTTTTTGCAGAGAACATTTTGAAAAGAACTCATTTCTAAAGAGCGTCTATAGATAGAACAGAGAAAATGTCTCTAAGGTTGTATTTTGTACATGTTTGACGGATATCTAAAGCGATTGTAATGTTCAAATAATAACACTTTGTTGCAATATTAGACAAGCTTCTAATTGTTTTTGAGGTTGGTGGTTTAGAAGTCATTTAAAAAGTCGTAAGAAAGCAACGCAATTTATCCGACACCTACAGAACTCCTGGAGGTTGGGGGATCTGTTCTGATGATGCCAGGATAATTAAGCTTAGTTTACACTGAAGGTAGGTGTTTGCTTTTGGGAATGCTTTATTGTTTTTCTGCACTGATGGCATGGTATTTATAGTGTCTACCATTCACAGGGGAACGTAGCCATAGTTACCTGTGGCCTTGGCCCGATGACCTCATGTCCACACATGGTTCATTAGAATCAAGCTCACTTTCTAGATTTGTCACCAACTAAGGATAAAGACTTAAAGTCTCACCCTACCCAGACAGTTTTGAGAAACCTAGCCTAAAGGTGAATCAGTTTGTTTGTTTGTTTGTTTAGCGCCACACGTAGGCAGGACTGGAAAGATTGTCAGTTACCCAGTCCTGTGTTCTGAGGGGAGTTTTTGAAAAGTTGGAATGTGGAATGTTTTATGTTACTAAATAATATTTCAGTCATATCACTGGATGTCAGCTTAATGTGAGAAGAAGGCCTGAAGTGGCCTTTTACCATTTTGGTGAAACACACCAAAAGAATAACACAACCAGCGTCCATTTTGTTATGTTCTTTTCGGGGGGGGCCCTGGCTAACTCAGTCGTGGCCTCCCAACATTTAGTTCGGAGCCAGTTGGTTTGGAGAAGGGTCAGTACCTTTTCAAAAGGAGCAGGCCCAGCTCGCTACATACGAATTAGTTGTTAAATCTACCCCTGCCATTGATTGTAATCAGTGCAAGTCTGGGATTCAAACCCCTGACCATAAGATCCTTGCATGCCTAAGGGACATAACTCCGCTAGGGGATCAGGGCACCTTAGATAACTGGGCTAATCGCCCCCACACATATGTTGAACTATGTAAATGAGATGGTATTCAAAGAATAGCAACAATAGTCATTAGAAACAAATCTTGGCAATGCCCTTTCTAAGATGAACACATCTGCCCGAGGGAGCTGTTTTGAAAACTGGAATGAGTTGTGTAATATGAAATGTAGAAGTGCATCAGATGAACGTGTTCATCATTTATCATAGAAAGGTGGGGAAATAGCAGCATTGCAGTACACATCCGAAATAGAAGCTCGATTTGTCCCTGGAGGTGTGTTGTTGTTTTGCTGTATATTGTTCTGGGTGTGAAATGTTGGCAAGTGCAGGGACCCAGGCGCCATGCTGGAACGTTTAGATAGAGGTGGGAGACAAACAGCAGGGTGTGGGGGCGGGGCTGGTTGAGTCTGAGGGTAACGCCATCCATGTTCAAGTAGATGTGGGGATGTTGATGGGTGCTGGACAGGTGTGTGGCTGTTTGTACTAGTCCGGACTGATGCCGATTTTATGGTGCTAGCCCACTGAGATATCATGCCACAGTTTAACATGAATACCCCACTCAGACACAGTATACTGACTCCATCCGACCAGTCCTTGTTTTAGCCCCTTAAAGGCAGGGTAACAACAAGTACCATCTTTTGACGTCTTTGGTATGACGTGGATGGGGATTGAACACCGGACCTTCCGCTCTCCAGACGGATGTGCTACCACTTGATCACTGAGAGGGTCCTGATTCTTAAGCATAAGAAATAACCATGATCCAGTAGGGTGAAAGAGGTATCAGGTGAGGTGAAATAGGGTTAATGACTCCCGAGCCCACCCTTCTGTGTCTTATCCCCTTAATGCGAAGCACCAGACAGGGTAACAACAAGTACCATCTTTTAACGTCTTTTGGTATGACGCAGCTGGTGATCAAACCCCGGACCTTCCAATCTCCTGGTAGACACTCTATCCACTAGACCACCGAGGTGGTTAGAGCTGTTAGAGGGACCCGTGAAGATTCCGGGGTAGAATAGGTCTTCAGCAACCCATTCTTGCCGTAAAAGGTGACTATGCTTGTCGTAAAAGGCGACTAACGGGATCGGGGGGTCAAGCTTGATGACTTGGTTGATGCATGTCATTGATCCCATTTGCGTGGATCGATGCTCATGATATTAATCACTGGATTGTCTGGTCCAGACTCGATTATTTACAGACCACCGTCATATAGCTGGAATACTGCTGAGTGCGGCGTTAAACAACCAACCAACCAACCAACCAACCAACCAAGCTGTTAGAGGTATAAGGATATGACACAGTGATTCAGCTTTTATTGGTACAGGGAGGGCATTGTGTGATTTGTGTCTTATGAGCAATTAGGTTGCTAGAGGAAATGATTTGAGGAATTGCAGTCTTGAGCCATCCATGATCTACTACAAAGCTTGGCAACAGGATAAGTAGTGAACTGTTACGATTGTCAGAAGTCTATGTTGAAATAAGGCAGTTACGATCACCTACATTGCATTGTGGATAAAATGTCATGTGATCACATATCATATCTGATGTAAGCAGACAGACAGACAGACAGACAAGTGGAGCAAGTTGACAATTGCTTCTGCTATATGATAAAGTTTAATTGTAAACCACACGCCTCCTCCTACACAGTGGTATCTATGGTGAACACTGCATTGTGCAGGTACAGGGCAGAAAATGGAAAACCCACAGCTAGAGTCCATGATTGTCTCATTGTACAAGCAGGTTTATCATTCCTCCATGTCAGAATAAGATCTAATTTGTCCAGGTGATCTTGACAAAATGCTATGTATCATGCCTTGGAGGGAAATAAATTTCTCAGCGGGTGAATAAAACCCTTATACCCCGCCATGAGCAATACAGGCTGCACGTGGATTTCTTAGAGGCATAATAAATCCTTTAAACCCTGCTTCCAAGCAAAAGACATGCTTTTTTCGATTCGATGAAAGTCCCATGACATAGCACAAGCTAGCCTCTGCTCAATCGAACAGCTGTTTTCTATCAATTTTGAATTTGTTTCAATTCTTTTACAATGTCATATTAAAACAGGTTGGTAAGATAGTAGTGTCTGATGCAGATGTTCCCTACTCTGGGTTTAGTCACAGGCAGCAGTGGAGGGAACAGGCATGGGTGCTCAAGGCTAGTCTGTCTCCTAGATCTCTAAGGAGAATAAATTAACTCAAGTCCAGATTGCTTCAGCTCTGAAAGTAGTGAGTGAGTATGATTTTACGCTGCTTTTAGCAATATTCCAGCAATATCACGGCGGGGGTCACCAGAAATGGGCTTCACACATTGTACCCATGTCGGGAATCAAACCCGGGTCTTCGGCGTGATGAGCGAACGCTTTAACCACTAGCTCTGAAAGTAAGCATTGGTCTGGGCTCCCTTTTTAATTTGATTTTATAATTTGTAGATATATGTTTTTATTTATTTATTTTTTGGATAAGATGAATTTATTTCGGGGACTGAATGTTAGTCAAGTTCCACTGTTGTAGCCTGCAACTTTTGCCACTAGTCCGAAGCCCTGAGTCTTGTAAATGTCTGTTCAGTCTGGTAACCTCAGGTAATGATATGAATACACTAAGATGTGTAAAACATTATGCCAAGTTCGGGCTGTTAAACTCAAAAGTTTTTGGTACAGACTGCTGTTGGTTCACGCTTCAATCTGAATGCTTTTAGCCAACAGTTGGCTGCCAAAAAATGTATGAATCTGTTTCACATCCGGTTATAGGCTCAAGTGTGAATGTAATGTACACCTCAAACTTTGTTTGTAGTGATGATGCTTATTTGGCAAGAGCAAGAGCAAAAATCACATAAGTCAGCTTTTAGCTTTCATTCGACCAATGAAAACTATGTTTAGTGCCGTCCAATTGCAGCCAGTGAGAATTTGGTCAGCATCTGGAAGACCCTTTCTACAAGAACATCTGAGACCTGAATCTCTTCGTGCTTAAGCTGACACGTGATATAATGGGAATATTGTAAAAAGTGGCATTAAACCAAACTCATTCACTTACTCTACAAGAACAATGTGTGACAAGGCAAAAAAGTACTGTTCTGCGGCGTCAGAAAACAAACACATATTTTTTTAAACAAATTGTGTGAATGGCGGGTGCTGACGGTAGAGCAGGACATGCTGACTCCCTTTGCAAACACCTGGTGTCATCACTTATTTTCAAGGACAAAGTAGACACAATTTATGGATAACAACTTCTTCAATGTCTCAAATGTATTAAAGACGTTGTTATCCATAAATTGTGTCTACTTTGTCATCCGTCAACTTCTAAGTAATGCCTATCAAACAATGATTTTCAGTGATCCATTCACGTAATTTTGCCCACTATTTTGCCTTTTATGCCCAACGGAACTTGTTTTGTCGGATAATCGAGATTGGTTATTATTCACTGGTGTTGATGTTTTGTGTTTATTTGGATGGCTCCACTCAATGCAGACAATAATCGTGTCTTGTGTTGCAGGTCTGGTGAAGCTTGGCGTCCACTGCATGACCGGCAAGAGGGTGGCCATCAAGATAGTCAACAGAGAGAAGCTCAGCGAGTCCGTCCTCATGAAGGTCAGTACCAGCGCCCCGCTGTGCATCTCAGCTTTCATGTACATTTGCAGAAAGCAGGGATTTGCCTCCGTAGTCAAGCGGACTTTCTCTGTAATAATTTTATACGGCCCAAGACATAAACGTGGGAGACCAGGGCAACCTATTATTGAAAAGTGCAACCTAATATTTATGTCTTCACACAAGTGCATGTAAAACAAATTCAAATTTGTGTCTGACTTACCGTTACTTTTCAACCCAGTAACAATATTTTAACTCACTCAGTAGCTTTAAGCTTAATGTACTATACTACACCACTCACCCCTGTTTTGTGTAATTTGTCATGTTTTCTTGGGCTTGTCATCAAACTGTGGGTACTTCAAGATTTTGTGCACATGTTCCTAATACGTTTTACAGCAATACGCCATTCATTATGTAAAATCGGATACTGTCATCAGAGATCTGAGATTATATTGATTTAAACTAGTTTTTGCATCTATGTTTCGACTTTAGTTAATATTTGGGATCTGTGTGCAACCAGGTTTTCATGTCAACATGCACCTGGTGCAAGTAAAATCAAGTTCCTCACACTGGCAACATGTGGCACGCTTCACTTGATTTCCAATAAGTTTCCATGTGACATCACTGCACATGCTCAATATAAAATAATAACTACAGTGATATGAAAGAATCAAGTGTTCTTTTACTTCTTTTGAGTAGTATAGATGAGATTTTAATGTGGGAATAAAGAAATCGACCCTTGACCCGTCAAATTGTGTGTGTATTTCCAGAACAAGTGTCACACATGTGTGACATGCAATCTACAATTTTATTTGTTTTAATGACGCAAACACCCAGGCTTCTCTGGCATCCCCCGGGGCGGTCGGGTAGCCTAGTGGTTAAAGCGTTGGCTCGTCACGCCGAAGACCCGGGTTCGATTCCCGACATGGGTACAATGTGTGAAGCCCATTTCTGGTGTCCGCCGCTGTGATATTGCTGGAATATTGCTAAAAGCGGCGTAAAACCATACTCACTCACTCACTCACTCACTCTGGCATCCCCCAGGACATGCCATGTACATTATTTGCATCCATTCTCAATTTGTATGCGTAGTTGGACTCTGTATTTTGCATCTAGTAAAACCCTGCATACAGTATAAGGAGTACTGAATACACATCGGCTCAAATTGTGATTGATGTATGGAATAATGTTATCTGTTTTTTATCCTTGAATTGTTTAGTACAGTTATTAATATCCGTAAAACTGTAGTCAGAGCAAAGCAAACCTCTGTATAATGTCGCTGTTACCCAATACTCTCAGCCTCTGATTCCAAGATTAATCACCTTATTTGGAATACTTACTCCAATGTAACAAATGTTATATTTGGGATAACACTTTCTTAGTAAAGTACAGATTCTTGTACTTTTTGGGGTTGAGTCCCGTCCGGGATTCGAACCCAAACTGCCAGAGTGAGGCACCTAATCGCCAGCACACAAAGTCGGCGATCTAACCCACTCAGCCTCGAGGCTTCCATATAAGTGTGTTTTCATACTTACTACAATTCGCTATGTTTGACCATTGAATGATGCCTTGCTTTCAAGGCTGATTTCGAGGAATGAGGGATACATTTTCCATTCGTCATTAAGAGTTTGTGTCAGATTCCCCTCCCCAATCAGAAAAGTAGAACATGTTTGAACACAAGACCACCAGGCCATTTTGACCTTTCCACTGGTCCTTCATAAATTTTACTAGACTATAGCCAACAGCCCAGCGTGAGTTCTGAAATGACTTATTGTTCGGCCGAGTGCTGGATGAGAAGGTTTAATCCTACCACTCTTCAGCTCAAGCAGTAGAAGACTACTTGATCTGTTGTTACGACCTGGTGTCCATCATCTGTACAAGTTTCTGTACACTACATCCCTCCATCGCCCATTAGTTTATACTCCAGCTTTGTGGTGTAGTCGCTATTTTTAACCAACCAATCAAGCAAGGGCCTGGTTCCAGTGAGAGGGGAGTCAACAAGTGCTCAGACCAATCAGCACTCAGATTACGTTAAAAACAGTTGTTTCTCCCTTGACAACTGCTGCAACATGCCAAACATTGCACTGTCGGCTGATCCACCAATGATTTTGCTCAAGAAGGTTCAAAATATAACGGGTCACGGAGTGGGCTGGAATGAAAATCTGATACATATTTTATTATTGCCTTGTGTGAAACTATCTGGAATACTACTTTGGATCTCAATACTTCGACTGTGAACCCACTTGAAATGTATAAACACTTGTAGACGCAGTCCATTAAGAAATGTCTTGTTGCTGCTGAAAGGGACATAAGATCCCTCATTCTGCCTAGGAGCTGTGGGGTAGCCCACTGGTTAAAGTGTTTGTTCATCACACCGAAGACCCGGGTTCGATTACCCTCATGAGTACAATGTGTGAAGCCCCTTTCTTGGGCCCCATTTTGCTAAAATATTGCTAAAAGGGGCGTCAAACAATACTCACTCACTCATTCTGCCTAGTTTCAATATTGATTGAAGGTACCAAATTCCCTGGGTAGAGTTGTATAACTGAGTTTCAAAATTAGATTCTGCTGGTCCCAGACTTGTAAAATTCAGTAAGGACTGGTGACATTTACTTGTGGGCTTCCAATTTAACCTTCAGTAAGACGGCAACGCTGTAGCAGATCATTTGTGGACTAGTGAAAATATAAATAAATTTCTAACCCTGTTCAAAGCTTTGTTAAACCCATCTCACTCACTCACAGGTACAATTTCCCATAATAGAGTATCAGATGTGTAATATTACAGGGTTGGAAATACAACTAAGTCTGGCATGCCGTAATATGACGAAAACTCTGGTCCCAATTGTACAATGCGATCTTAGCGCTAAGACTATCATAAGCCTATGTTAAAGTATGGGATTTGCGATTGTCTTTCCTTTTGTGCAAACAGGCCCTGTCAAAATGGTGTTTACCAAACTCACTCACCCACTCACTTTAAATCATCTCTCCACAATTTGGTGACATGTTTATATGACAGTGAGATCTACCTTGTGACTGGCATCAGTGTCGCAGTATGGTAACAGTGTCAGTTGTGATGTGGCAAATTAGCAGTGTTTGAATCAATTATAAAACCCAACAAGACAGTCGGGCAGGTGACACATAAATGTTGCCTCCCCATCTTCAAAGTTACCTGCCTGCATTCAGACATTATAAATCGTATCTTGATTCAGTTGAAATAATGCTAACAATTACTTGAGAATCTACGAAGAGTTATGATAAAACGGAATATGTAAGTTGGCTTAAAATTATCTGCCCGACCGTGAGGCAGGTGGAGGAAAATCTCATGCAGCCCGACAGAAAAGTTACCAGCCACGGGCAGGCAGGCAGTTATTTCGGACACTGAAAATAAGTGATATCATATCAAACATTATGACATCAATGATATCCAGACAGCCGCCAACCAACTTGGATTGGTTTATATAAGTAATAACTGGCCAATCAGATAGCTTGAATGTTTATGAGTATTGATTATATTTCATCCATCATCTTTGAATTTTTTTACAAACGAAGTGATGTAAGCTCAAAACTACATGCTTTCAGTTGATGCCCAGACAAATCACATCCCATAACGAGATCTACCATGAAATTAGGGAGCATTCATTGTTCAGAAAATGGTGATTATTTCTCTCAGAGGAAGCCTTGACATGCCTGCCTTGCACTGAGGCAACTTGCCATTAACTGCTACAACTTCTGAAGACTGTCATTTCAATATCTTTTATGTCACTTGATCTTTGGTAATGAACACAGATTCAATAAACCAAGTAAAGTAAGAATTTTCAAAGTTGAGCGAAACTGCCATTGATTGACCTTATTTTCAAAATCTATCCCCAAATTCAATATGTTTTTTATCACCATGGAAACTGAACAATAATTGGTCTCTGAGGGACTTCAAGAGGTTTGAGTAGCTTGCAAGGGAGATAAGACGTTTTTGTTCGTAAGGAGATGATTACGAGGAATTTGAAGGAATATGATTACTTAGCTTTATGATATGTGCTGATGAGATTACCCGGGGAGGAAAGAGTGTGTGATTGACTTGAAGATGTGCGACAAAGTTTTGTTACTAATAAACCAGTAGAAAATTAGCTTTGGTTAACAAGAACATTGTTAGATTATGTCAGTAATTGAGTTTGTGCGGTTCTTTACGGGGTGGAGAAAAGTGCTGAGTCAGTGCATTTGCTGTAGTCTGGATGGAGATATGGACACATCTGCCCAGCTGAAATAATGTAGATTATGTCAGTAATTGAGTTTGTGCGGTTCTTTACGGGGTGGAGAAAAGTGCTGAGTCGGTGCATTTGCTGTAGTCTGGATGGAGATATGGACACATCTGCCCAGCTGAAATAAGGAGGGTACAATTCACCAACTGTTCAACGCATCTGATACATTGTCCATGTATTGACCCCCTGCAGGGGTTTCTGGTGAGAACTGGTTCACAGCAAACGAGACTGGTCATGAGATGGGTCTTAATGGATCGTGTGGTTGGGCTGTTTTGTTGATATTGTGTCATCACACGCCAACTGTGGGGATTGTTGCTCATACTATCAATCACTGGATTGTCAGGTCCACCTCGATTATTTACATGCCGCAGTCATATGGCTAGAATGTTGCTGAAGGGGTGTTAGAATGGAATGGAAATGGAATCAAGATTAGTTTAAAAATGCTATTGCTGATGGTGTGAATGATAGTTCTTTGAATTTTGTCTAGTTAACTCATGCTGGCTGAAGGACGATATGACATGGGCCCTTTTTGGACCACTAGAAAAATGACAAATTGTAAGGTTACTGAAAATATGAAATATTTTTTGTGAAATTTATTTGACAGTTCTATTGCTTGCAAGGAATCCTGACAAGATGAAGTACAGAATAGACAAAAATCTTACCAACAAGTCCAGATTTCTTATGCCGTCAAAGAAAATCCTTCTATTATCAAATCTTTAACTCAAGATGAACTGTTCAGTGTTCAACCAT